TCCTCTTCTTCACAGGCTATATTGCTCAGCTTGAATTCCTGGGCTCAAGCAATCCTGTCTTTGCCTCCCAAGCAGCTGGGACTGTAGGCCTGCACCACCCTCCCTTAGCTTGTTGATTTTCCAAGCTTATTTTTTAAACAGCATGGAGACCAAAATAAAAAGGAAAAGTTAATCTGATATCTACAAATTTAACATTTTCCATGTGCCCTTTCAGCATTGGTCTAGGATGACTATTGGCTATGTTTTCAAGGAAGAGGAATTAGCATTTCAGAAACAAGCCCAGGGTCCAGGATTCTGGCTGCTGGGCCAGCCTTAGAGGGTCATATGTCAGAATCAGTGCCAGGAAACACAGTCTCCTGCTGCTGTCCAGGCTTCTGCTGCTTAGGCATCTCTTCTCTCAGCACAAGGAGGTTGTGGCTGTCTCTACAAAAATACAGAAGGAGAACAAGCAGCAAACTAAGGTGATTGTGTAGCACTTCAGACCAGAAAAGCTTGGACAATTTCAGGAGAAAATCGGTATTAGTCTGAGTTATCTGGAGAGTGGAATTAACAGTACAGCCTTAATTAAAGCAGAGAGCCAAAGGAAGGCAGTAGAGACACATAATCCAATTGGTTAAGACCTTTTTTTTTTTTTTTTGAGACAGAGTCTCACTCTATCACCCAGGCTGGAGTGCAGTGGTGTGATCTCGGCTCACTGCAACTTCCGCCTTCCAGGTTCAAGTGATTCTCCTGCCTCAGCCTCCCAAGTAGTTGGGATTACAGGCATGCACCACCACGCACAGCTAATTTTTGTACTTTTAGTAGATATGAGGTTTCACCATGTTGGCCAAACTGGTTTTGAACTCCTGACCTCAAGTGATCCACCTGCCTTGGCCTCCCAAAGTGCTCGGATTACAGGCATGAGCCACCGTGCCCAGTCTGGTCAAGACTTTTTAACATTTTTTTATCTTGTTTGAGAAATTTTAAAACCATAGAAAAATACAGAGAATAATACATATATTCCTCCCTCCCAGAACTGACCATCATTAACTACTGATTCAGAATTAAATTTTTAATAGAGGAAAATCTCAATACTGTTACTCTTTTCTCCTCCCCAAAGGCCAACATCCCCTTGAGTTTGGTGTGTAGATTGTGTTAGACCTCCTAGTACAAATTATAGCCTTCATTAGCTGTTAAAACAGATTTTTAAAATCTGTGTGTTCTTTTCAAGTCCACAGTCTATAATTTTATATTCATGGGTAAATGTTATTGGGCATGAAATTCTCCTGCTTTTAAAAATTATTTAAAAATTGCTTTGGGAGGCTGAGGTGGCAGGACTACTTGAGGCCAGGAGTTTGACACCAGTCTGGGCAACACAGCAAGACCATGTCTCTGAAAGAAATATATAGCTTTAAATAGTACCATAAATGGCAACTGGGAATTTGTCTGACAGTAAGAGAGAATTACAGGGAGCTCCTCCTTTGGAATTTATGTCACTTTCATCATTATGTTTAATGAGAACTTACTGGCCATCTGTTATATGACAGCTGCTGTGGCAGGGAATACAACAGTGAACAACACTGATCATTTCTCCCACTAATGACACTTACATTCTATGGAGGAGACAGTCACAAAAATATGAGCAAATAGATTGTGGTAGCCATTCTCCAAGATGGGTCCCATTGATCCCCACTTCATGGTATTCACCTCCTTCCTTGTGTAGTCCTTTCACATTTTACCAGAGTTGGCCTGTGTGAACAACAGCATATGGCAGAAATAATGATATATAACTTCTGAGATTAGTTGATTAAAAAGACTGCAGTTTCTGTTTTAGTTGCCCACGTGATGTCTTGGGCTGTGTACTCTGTGGGAAGCTGTCATGTTATGAGGACACTAAGGCAGCCTGAGGAGAGGCCCACTTGAGGAGGAATTAACAGGCTTGCCAATAACCACATGAGCGAGTTTGAATGTGAATCTTTCAGCCCCACCTGAACCCTGAGATGACAGTAGTCCAGACCAAAAGTTTGACTGTAACCCCATCTAAGATCTTGTCCTGACCATCCAGCTAAGCCCTGCTGGATTCCTGACCCACAGAAACATTGAGATAATAAATGTTTATTTTAAGCGGCTATGTTTTACGGTAATTTTTATGTACCAATAGATAATGAATACACAGACATTAGCAATAGTGACATTAGCAATAACTAATATACAACAAATAATTTCAAATCGCAATAAATGCATATACCAATCTGATGGTAGGGCAGATGTCCATCATAAGAAGTATGGTCCAGTGGTAAATGACATAGGCTTTGGAGCCTGCATGCCCAGTTTCATTCCTGGCTTTGCCACATACCAGTGTGTGACCTTGGCAAGTCATTTCAAAAATTTTTTTTGCTTATATTTCCTAACTTGCTCATTTGTAAAACAGATAACAGTACTTAATTAAGGTTGTTGCAAAGATTCAACAAGTTAGTAAATGAAAGTGCTTAGCACAGAGCCTAGCACATCTTAATTGCCCAATTCATATAACTATTGTTATCCTGCATAGATGATTGAGCATTTGCCATCAATATATTTGCCTGAGCTGTTTGCATATTATCCTTCACATTGGAAAATGACTGCTGAGGGTGAATAAATCGGACTCAAATTTAACAATGTAGTTCAAAGCTGTGTTTAGCACCTGCTGTGCACCAAGGAAGTACACTAGCAGCAGGATGAAGTTTAATAAGACATGGTTCATGCTCGCAGAGGTTCAAATTCTTGTGGAGGAGGCAGAAATGAGTATTCGTGTAATAAAGGAATCTAAGTCTAAAAACCTTATGAGTTGAAGAATCTTTGAGTATTCATCATGAAATACCATTTATATACTGTATACTCATGTTTTTCTAGGGAGAAGTATGACAGTTCTATACCCAGAAGACAATTCGAGAATCAGTTTAGAAGCTGAGAAATTAAAAGGTGTGTTTTAACTGCTAATGAGAGCTATAATTTATACTAGGAGGTCAAAGCACAGAGGAAAGGAGAAAGCTGAAATGAGACATGCTTGGCTTTCAGCTTAAGTGTCACTTCATCAATCAGAGTGACCTCCTCCATACCCCCTCTTCTCTTCTGTCATAGCACTTATTATATTAATAATATATACTTAATTGCATTTGTTTCATATTTTCTCCCCAATTAGACTATAAGTTCCATGAGTCCAGGAATCATATCTGGGCTTACTTACCATTGTAAACTCCCCCACTTATAAATCTGACTCAGCATCTAGTTCAATCCCTGGTACATAACAGGTGCTTAACAAATTTTTATAAATGAATGAATGTTAAATGAATGTTTACAATGATTAGAATTCTAGTGGGTGGATGAGGCCCATAGAAAACTCTTGAGACCAATGTGGCAGGATTCTCAGTGAAAAACTAAATCTGTGTGCAGGATGCTTTCCTTCTCTAGCAAACAGAGGTGCTGGAAAGGCTTTCACCATCCATAAGAAGGGAATTGTTTTGGAGGGCAATGCTATAACACCTCTTCCCCTCCATTGATCACATAAAATATCCAGTTAGAAAATAGGAATCAGCCTTCTTGTGCTCTGAAGACATGAAGGATACTGGTGATAATCCATCTAGCATCCATTCTCCTCCCTTACAGGTCTCGGTTTTATTCAAACAGACATGCCTCCACCTTGCAACTCATGTGACTCAAAGAGCACTGACACCACTGCCAATTCCAATTGTCATAGCTCCTTTTCACTTCCGGAACCCAGGCTTAAGCTTCTGTACATTTCCCAGGCAGTTACTAATAAAGAGGCAGAGTGTGTGCCTGTGTGACCCAATTGGCTTTAAAAACCAGGAGGAAGGGTTTTAGATGAAAAAGAAAGTATGTGGTCCTGATTTCTCCAAGTAAACACCTGGAAAATCACGTCAGTATGAATTTGAAGTCTACCCTTTTCTACAACAGAGCAGAGAGACTATAGCAACTGGGTCTGTGGTAACTTGCTGAGCCACTGAATTAATCAAAGTCTACCTTGCCTCTGGTCTTTCTGTTATGCGAGATAATCAACTTCCTTATTTTTTAGCAAGACAATTTAACTCAGATTTTATATCACATGCCTCCAAAATAATCATAACTGACCCAAATATGTTTGGCCTCTACAATCAGGGCAGCCATGCTCAGAAGAGTGCGCAAGGGCACCCTATTGTCTTGGAAAAGGCAAGCACTGAGACTATTGCCTTTTGAGAACTGAAAATGCCAATCTGCTAATCATCCTTAGAGTGAATATCCAGGTATGAAAAGCAAAGGGGGTGGGCATAGGATGGGGCAGGGACACGTTTGCCTGGGTCAAACACAGAGATCAAAATTAAAAGTGGTCCCATCTGCCTGGAAGAAGGCTAAGAAGGGTCTGAAAGTATTGAGCTCCAAGAGCCCTTGGACCTTCTGGTGAGACACCCTTGGCTGATGCCCTTGATGGGACATCCCTGTTGGCTGCTGTGGCACCTGCATCCACTACAGACCTACATTATTTGACTAATTTGAAAAGACAGGTTGTCAAGAGCGACACCATGTGGCTATAATACACAATGACAATGGTGGACAGCTACAGCCCGAGAGGCCTGACGCTTCATTGAGAAGTGGAAAATGCTGAATGGAAAGATGAAATGTGATCAACAAACATTTAATGCGGTCCTGCAAATGTCAGCTGCTACAGTGCTCAGCCAGGTCTGGAACATCGAGAATATGGTGATCCGTACTCTGGTAAGAGCTCGCAGTCGCGGCGGAGTAGAGGGCGAGAGAGAGGGCAGTCTCTGGTGGGTAGGTAACCCAGGCTTCACTTTCACCCACGACCACAAGTATTTTTTACGTCTTCCGGACAAATGAGGCTCCATGTAAGTGACAGGGGAACCTAGGGAGGGCTATGAAATGCGCCAGCGTGCCAGCGACCAGCGCAGCGCAACGAGGCCTACTTTTGCGGTAAGCCCCGCCCCTAGCAGCTGAGCCAACCGGAGGGCGCGGGGCGGACCCAGCCTCCCCGTGAGGCCGGAGAGAATCGCTTGCGGGCTTTCGCAGGCGGAGAAAGGGCCGGCCCTCGATGCGCTAGGGCTTGATTTGCCGCCCTCCTCCGGCGGCGGCAACGGTCGCGGAGGCGGCGCCTCACCTAGCTGCGCGGGACCTCACCTAGCTGTGCCAGCCTTAGTCGGGGAGCTGCTGGTGGGAGGCGGCGACTGAGGAAGGTGAGTGGCACTCGGGGCTCTCAGAGGCGCCGGCATGAGCCCCTTTCCTGGGGCACCCCGGGCATGACATCACCTAGGCCTAAAAGTGGTCAGACTGACCCTTGTCAGGGAGGAGCCGCCTGGGACAGGGTCGCGCCTATTAAAAAAAATCCTTGCGTAAGGGTTTGGGGATCGGACAAACCTAGTCCCAGCTCCCCAGCCTTTGTGTTCTTTGGGTTTTCCTTTAATGTCTCAGCGCCTCCGAGTCTTTATTTGTATACTAAAGCTGGTAATTCTTGCCTTACAAGGTGGTTGTGAGGGTTAAATGAGGCAATAAGAGTAAAACTCAGAACCGCACCGGGCGCAGACTCGATTTGGGATAAGCTGTAGGCAATTACTCCATCCCCCAAAATCGCCCCGGGCTGAAGCGCTCGGTTTGTGTCAAACAACTGCGAAGGTTGTTTAGGGAGTGAGGACTCGGAGCAGAAGGGGGCTGTTAGTCGAATAGCGCAGGTGTCACTTTCTGCGGTTTATTAAGCTCATTCCGGATTCAGAAGACCTCTGACTTTATACAGAGCCTAATAGGAGTCTTTCCAGGTGAAAAATGTCAGAAGGTGAAGACACCCGTAACAGAGAGACCAATCAGAGTTTCCTGCCACTGTGTTTTTCGATCATAGTAATATTAAACAGGCCTGGCGCGGTGGTTCACCCCTGTAATTCTAGCACTTTGGGAGGCCGAGGTGGGCGGATCACCTGAGGTCAGGAGTTCGAGAACAGCCTGGCCACCATGGTGATACCCTGTCTCTACTAAAAATACAAAAATTAGCCGGGCCTGGTGTTGCGCGCCTGTAATCCCAGCTACTCAGGAGTCTAAGGCAGGAGAATCGCTTGAACTTGGGAGGCGGAGGTTGCAGTGAGCCGAGATCACGCCACTGCACTCCAGCCTGGGTGACAGAGCGAGACTCCGTGACAAACTCACTCTCTCTCTCTCTCTCTCTCTGTGTATATATATATAAACTGTGCCGGCATTAGCCATATTGGTTTCAATCTTCTGCTTGAGTTTTGTACTTTAAATATTGCCAAGTAGACTCAGGCCTCCCCTGCCCCACCTTTTGGGGAAGAGGTGACTGACTTAGCGTCTTCCCAACAGCTTTTGCTTTAAAGCAAGGTTCTGCCCCTTTGATGTCACCTCTCCTGGGAGAGAATGATTTGGTTGAGATGACATCCCATTTTGCTTCTTTTTCCTATTAGGGGTAGGTTCAGCTCTTTCTTAGGAACATTAAACAGCAGGTTGCCATATTTTTTTAGAATAGAAGCTTTTGTATTTAATAAGCAGTGGAGACTTCGAAAGGGTTACACGTTTTCATTTATTTTTTCTTTTTTTTTGTACGCATTCATTTATTGTAGTAATTTTAAGTATATACTTTTGAAGACGCTTAAAGATTTTGGTGTGATTCAGTTGAGAAGGAACAGTTATTGGCCATGGTTGTCAGCTCCCCTCCCCCACCCCAAATATGAAAAAAATAATTAAATTTTAAGGTGTGGAGCACGTTACAAGGGGCTTCAGACCTATAAAGGGCAATTTGGCTGAAAGACTTGGGAAACCTAGAAAGTGCCAGAAGATACAATTATGTTTTTGCTTTTCTATGCTTGGCTTACTATGCCATGTACAAACCAACTCCTATCCTTCAACTCCTACCGCGCCCCCCCCCCCGAGTCTTATTTTAAGTGTATTAACGACAGTAATTAGAGCTATAGCTTCTGTGTTGGCCCTATAAAGCATTTGGTCTCTTCCTGTGACTTTAAAAGTTCTAGACCTGTGTCCTGTCACAGCCTATAGTGGGGAAAATGTTGCTGCAAACTGTTGGCCCATTTATTTCACAGAATGGGTCTCTGAAAAGGAGGGCTTGGTCATAGGTGCAAATGAGTAGTTTTCTTCCTGGGTTTGCTTTTGTGATCAGTGGTAGTTTGTCTGAGGATGCTTCATTTTAGTACCCTTGCAAATAAATATCCTACCTGTGAAGCCAGAAGTCAGAATTGACGATAGATGATGATAGATTTGGATAGCCAGCTAAATGCCTCAACAAGGTGGGGAGAGAAGAGAAGGGGAGGGGCATATGATGGTGAGCTGGGAAGGCCATTAGCAGTTATTTCAGTTGTGCCTGCTTTATCTCAGGATTACCAGTACCATGGATGCCTGCTCTGGGAGTAACACAAGACCATTCTTGGTGGGAGGTTGAACATTTCAAGATTTTGTTCTTTTTATCTTTTTGAAACCTAGATGAAGATCAGTTTCAGACCATGAGACTCATTGGGTGATCATTTCATTGAGATCAACCTGCATGACCAGGTGTAAAGTGCAAGAGTAATATGCTATGACTGAGGTATGTCTAATGTAACGGATGATTCCAGATGTTGGGAGGCCATGGAAAAAATCTAATATTTATTGACTGCTAGGTTCATTACATATATTTCCTTTTGACCTCCTGATAATCCTATCAGGTAGATATTTTACAATTCAGCTAAGAAGCTGAAGCTCAGAGAGGTTAGGTACCTATTTAAGATAACACAGAAAGCTGATCACCAACTCTAATCACCGTCTCCATCCTGCTGTGTGTCAGGCAATGAATGCTGCTTTCTATATTAACTCTCCTAATGTTTAACTGTCAGCTAAGTACTTTTACTATCCTCATTTTATGATGAAGAAATTGAAGCCTACAGAGATTAGTACTTTATTCTCCTGGCTGTATGGCAGAATCCATGATTTGAACCCAGGTGGTCTGGCTACAGAGCTCTACAGGTTGAGTATCCCTTATCTGAAATGCTTAGAATTATGTTTTGGATTTTTGGATTTAAAAAAAATTGTAATATTTGTATATACATGAGATATTTTGGGGATGGGACCCAACTTTAAACACAAAATTCATTTATTGTTTCATATACACATTATACACATGGCCTGAAGCTAATTTTATACGTTTTTAATAGTTTTATGCATGAAATGAGATTTTAACTGTGACCTGTCACATAAGGTCTGATGTGGAATTTTCTATTTGTGGTGTTAGGCTGGTGCTCAAAAAGTTTTGGATTTTGAAGCATTTTGGATTTCAAATATTTATATCTGGAATGTTCAGCCTTTACCAGCTTTCTTTTAGTTAGCATTTCCTTTACCTTTCTGTTTTTGTTATTTCACAAAATCTTTTTTTTTTTTTTTTTTTTTGTCTCACTCTGTTGCCCAGGCTGGAGTGCAGATCTTGGCTCACTGCAACCTCTGCCTCCCAGGTTCAAGCAATTCTGCCTCAACTTCCCTAGTAGCTGGGACTACAGGCATGCCACCACACCTGGCTAATTTTTATATTTTTAGTAGAGACAGGGTTTCACCATGTTGGCCAGGATGGACTTGATCTCCTGACCTCGTGATCCGCCCGCCTCGGCCTCCCAAAGTGCTGGGGGATTACAGGCGTGAGCCACCTTGCCTGGCCTTCACAAAATCTTTTTATTGTAAAATGAAATTTTTGTTATAAATCATGTACCAAATGTATAGCTTAATAAATTATTACAAGACTATACCATTTGGGTATGCCTGATCCCCTCCATGGCCCTGTCCCAGTCACAACTCCTGTGTTCTCATTTAGTCGCCATTCTTCTAGGTTTTATGGTTCTATAGTAATCACTTTCCTGTATTTTTTTTTTTTTTTTTTTTTTGGCGATGGAGTCTCACTCTGTCACCCAGGCTGGAGTGCAGTGATGGGATCTCAGCTTACTGCAACCTCTGCTTCCTGGATTCAAGAGATTCTCCTGCCTCAGCCTCCTGAGTAGCTGGGATTACAGGCACACACCACCAGGCCTGATAATTTTTTTTTTTGGTATTTTTAGTACGGACGGGGTTTCACCATGTTGGCCAAGCTGCACTGTGAGCCTGGGCTCCTAGTTTTTGATAGCTTCCTTGTTATATGATATATTGAACAATTCCTATTGCAGATCTAAAAATCAGCCATTTCCTTAAAATACCCTAGTTTCTTTTAGAGGGAAATAGTATTTCAGTTCTAGTCTGAATGCTGAGGATCCTGAGTTAGTCATTGTTTCAGGCTTTTTGGTAGACAGAGCTAGGATACTTATATTTATCTATAGACACACATGTTAAAAGATATCTAATGTATTCTCCTTCCAGTCTTCAGTTTGGACTTTAGAGACTACAAAGCTTTTACTTAACAACTTCTCTATCACAGCTGTAACTCCTTTTTTCCATACTGATTATCATGATTCTCAGGAATATAGGAGATAATAGTATCCCATATTTACTCATTCTATATTGTACATATGACAGTACCAGAACTATATTTCTGAAATCACCATCAGTATGATTACTGAAAACATTAAAGCTTTTTTTGTTTATGTTTTTCCCATTTTTTTCTTCTCCCTCTCTTTTAACAGTTGTACTCTATCTGCATTGTGAGAGCATATAGCCATTTCATGTTCTGCTTTTTCCCTCTTAGTCTATTCTTAGTTCTATTAATATATTTAATGTTTACCACCAGTGTTTATGCTGAGGTCTCTCTAGGTGTTTTGGCTACCTGAAGCTAATACATTGTTAGATTCCTCAGGAGGGAATATTGTCTGAGTTCTTATATACTGATAAAAGTTTGTTCTTTTTATACTTGAAAGTCAGTTTTGCAGATATAAACTCTTTGGTTCTCACTTCTTTTCCTTGAATTTCTTAAACACTTTACTCCCTTTTCTTCTGGCATAAAGCATCGGTATCAAAGTTAGATGATAATCCAACTTTTTTTCTTCATATAGGTCATGTGGGTTTTTTTTTTTTTTTCCGGTAGATGACCAAATGATTTTTTTTCTTCCTTTCTCTCTCTCTCTCTCTCTCTCTCTCTCTCTCTCTCTCTCTCTCTCTCTCTCTCTCTCTCTTTCTTCTTTCCTTACTCCATCACCCTGACTGGAGTGCAGTGGCATGATCTTGGCTCACTGCAACCTCCACCTCCTGGGTTCAAGCAGTCCTCCCACCTCAGCCTCCTGAGAAGCTAGGACTACAAGTGTATGTTCCCACTTCCAGCTAATTTTTTTTTTTTTTGGTAGAGACAGAGTTTTGCCATGTTGCCCAGGCTGGTCATGAATCCAGGCTCAAGTGATCCACCTGCCTCAGCCTCCTAAAGTGTCAGGATTACAGGCATGAGCCACTACGCCCAGCCAATTTTTTTCTTTTTCATTAAAATCTCGTAATAATATTAGAATGTATCATTGTGTTGATTGTTTTCGGTCAGTATTCTCAGGTACTTGACATTTTTTTTCCATTTGTAGTTTGAAATCTTTTTATAATTTCAGGAAAACTTTGTTTTAAACAGCTTTATTGAGATTATTTAATCTACAATAAGCTGCACATATGTAGTCTAAAATTTGATAAGTTTTGACATAAATATATACCTATGAAACCATCACCCCAATCAGGATTGTCAATACATCCATCATCCCCCTAGATTTTCTTGTTCTAGTTAGTACTCTCTGTCTCTAACCTCCATTCTCTCAGCAACCACTGATCTGCTTTCTATCACCACAGATTAGTTTTCATTTTCTAGAGTTTTGTATAAATGGAATGTTATAGTATGTACTATTTTGTGGCTGGCTTTCAGTGTAATTATTTTGGCATTTATCCATGTTGCACGTATTCTTTTTTGTTGCTGAAGGATATTCCACCCAATGGGTATACCACAGTTTGTGTGTCTGTTCACCTGCTGTTGGACATTTGAGTTATTTCCAGTTTCTGGCTATTATAGATAAAGCTCTTATGAACATTTGTGTACAGTCTTTGTGTGGACATAATGCTTTCATTTCTCTTGGGTAAATTCTAGCCATGGCATGGCTGGGTCTTATGGTAAGTGCTTAACCTTTTAAGAAATAGCTGAAGTGATTGACAAAGTGGTTGTACTAGTTTAAATTCCTATCAGCAATATATGAGAGTTCCAGTTCCTTCACATCCTTGAAAACACTTGGTATAGTCATTCTTAGCCATTCTAATATGTGGGTAGTGGTGTCACATCATGTGTTTTAATTTGCATGTCCCTCCTAACAATGTTTAGCATCTTTTTATGGGCTTACTTGCTGCCATCTGTATGTCTTTTGTGAAATGTCTGTTGAAATTTTTTGGCTATTTTCAAGTTCGGTTGTTTACTTATCATTGTTGTTAACTTCCTTACTGCGTTTTGAGAGTTCCTTATATGTTCTGGATAGGAACCTTTTCTGATTCCTGATTATTTTCTCAGAGTATGTGGTTTTTTCTTTTCATTCTCAGAATGGTATCTTTTAAGGAGCAGACCTTATTTTTATGAAGCCCCATTTGTTCTTGAATAGATCATACTTTTGGTGTCATATCATAGACATGTTTGATATGCACTCTGAGAGTGCAGATATCTACAGTTTTTCTGTGTTTTTCTAGACATTTTGTAATTTTAAGTTTTAGATTTATATCATTCATTTTGAGTTAATTTTTCTGTATATGGTGTGAGGCATGGCTGAAAGTCCTTTTTCTTTGTTTCTTTCTCCTTTTCTTTGCATATGGCTATCGCATTGTTCTAGCATCATTTATTGAAAAAACTACCATTTTTCCTGCTGAATTACTTTCATACCTTTGGTGAAAATTAGGTGTCCATATATGTATGAATCTGTTTTTGGACTCTATTTTGTTTCATCTGTCTTGATATCAGTGCTGTATTGTCTTGGTTACTGTAGCTTTATAAGCCTTGAAATGATGTAGTATTAGTCCTTCAACTTCATTTTTCATTTTCATTCATTCATTCATTAATTTAGAGATAGGATCTTGCTGTTATCCAGCCTAGAGTGCAGTGGCACCGTCATAGCTCATTGATTAAATTCCTGGGTTCAAGTTGTCTTTACACTTCAGCCACCAGAATAGCTAGGACTACAGGTTTATGCCACAGTGCCTGGCTAATCTTTCAAATTTTTTTTTGTAGAGATGGGGTCTTGCTATGTTGCCCAGTCTGGTCTTGAACTCTTGGGCCTCAAACCATCCTCCTGCCTCAGCCTCCCAAAGTGCTGGGATTACAGGTATGAGCCACCATGGCCAGCCTGTTCTTTTCAAAGTTGTTTTGGTTATTCTAAGTCTTGCAGCTTGTATGAATTTTAAAATCAGGCAAGTTTCCTGAATTATAGTTTTTAAAATTGGTTCTATTGTTTTAGTTTTCTTTTTCAATTACCACTATTAGTGTATGTTTGAGCTTCTTTGCCTGTCATTTTCATATCTCTTTCTTTTTAATTTTTAAAATTGTTTTTCTTTTAATCTCTGTTTCTCTTAAGGCATTGTCTGTAGTCTTTATTCATTTTTCTTCTTCTTAAAACTTTATTTAGGAAATAACTAGTT